GTACACAAACACTCGTCAGACACGTAGAGGGGGGTCAGGAGATAACCAAACGGACGTAGCGAATGTAGTACAAGCATCAAGATTCACATGTTTATCGTGAAACCTGAGCAGCAGTGCTGAGCGCAGGAGTGCTGAACACTGGGAGTTTACACAAGGACGAAGACGTTTCGTGTCGGTAGTTCGCTTGAATCAACAGTACAGTTTGTTCAGGTGCTATCAACACTGGTTTTATATTACACACTATGCTTTTTAGCGGTACTATACTATAGTGTTTTACTACAGAACCAAAATGTACACGTCTTCCAGATCAAAATGAAACCACTTCAATGTGCATTTTGAAGTACATTATAGCATAATATAGCCTACTGTATACAATAGTCTGATCATTTAAAATTATTTATCATATTACACCAGATGGTATTGTGCGTATACTTTATTCGGGGTTCATACAACTTTACCAAAGTCAAATTAAAGAACTTTTTTCAAGCATTTTAAAGATTTTTGTTAGCTTTTCCTGCATTTTACAGCCGTGGTAAATGACATATACATCAAACAGATCACAGAGCTTTGTTATTCCCAGGTTGTGCCATAAAGCCCTGGTCATGGCAGCCTGGCAGAAAGTCTTAACAGCTATAGTATTACATATTCTACTGTATGCAGATGATATCACTTCTTTATCCAATGAAACCACATGTTATTGTGCTTTAAACCCAATGCAGGGTCCGTACACCTTTACCAAAGAGAAAAATCAAGCAGTTTTAAAGTCTTTTTTCTAAGCTTTTCCTACAGCTGTGGTAAATACCTACATAGTTATATCCAGTAAGTATTATAGATTCTTCTCTATCGAGTATATCACTTCTTAATCACATTAAACCAGATGTTATTGTGCTTTTAACACGAGAAAAAAGCATATTTGAGGCAGCATTCAGCGAGGCATTTCAAATGGCAAGCCCTTTATACAAAACCCAAGCACTTTTCATAAAGACCACATTCAAATTCAACTCTTGTAAATGATTTTCCCAACATGTAGTTTCAGTACAACACTAGTGTTTGGTAGGCTACTAGTACCTTTACTTTGTATGCTTCTAATAATTTATTAATAAGTTCTCTTTCTCCTGTTCTTGTGCTGCTGCTGAATTTCCTCTCTGGGGATAAATAATAATATAATTCTGTCAGAGAAGGAGCCACATTTCTCTTTATATTTTATGTCCTTTCCTGCACACAACAATGAGACATGCATGCATTCATCTCAATGACGTCCTCCACCATTTCCTTTCATCTTCTCCACTCTCACTACAGTGCACCTGCAGGTATTTGCAGTTCCAACAAGGTGGAACAGATGCACACAAACAGATTTGTATTTATACTCCGGCTCATATAGGAGCTTCCGTGCAATAACAACCCTGCGATTATTTATTGTGTGTTCAACATATGCTGGGTCCAAAGGTCTCATAAACACACAGTGTTCACCGTAAAGCAACAGGGAGACGAAAAGGAAATTGCTTCGTCTCAAAGCACTGCGGGTCAATAAGCACCAACAACCATCGGCTTCTTACGCTCACAGCGATCCATTTAGCTCTCTGTAAACAAGACTGAAGGAAAAGTGGATGCCAACACGACTTATGTAACAACTGGCAAATTAAATACTGACAAGACAAACACATTCCCAGTGTGGTGAGGTTTCCTGTTAGTGCAAGACTGAATTCACTTTCACTTTTATAGATGCAAATACCTTCTTGTCCTTATAAGGATTTCGGTCATTTACAGCAAAAATGTACAAATTGTGAATTATTTTGGGGAAAGGTGATAGTTTTAGTGCAGGGCTGCATAGTTTGGAGGAAAACTATAAATGCAATGATATTGCAATAATGATATGAATCACAATGTTAAAGGGAATGGCTATTTTCTACATTATTCACATTTTCACTGAGATTCCATTTTCAAATAATATTAAAACTGTGATTTTTAGGAGACAGTGACGACCCCTGCCTCGTTCTCTCTTGTTGTGTGTGCATGGCCCTTTAACGGTCTCCCTTCCTCCCTATCAGCGCTGATTGAGGGCACCTGGCCGCCGGTACCGGAGGAGTGAAAGGCTCGAGCCAGAGGCCGTTTCTCAATCTCGAGGATACTGGCTTCCAAGCCAATATTTCAAGGATGCTACGTCATCGAGTGCCGCCGAAGTACTGTTCCAATCTCCAGTATACTTGGAATTCCACCGAGGCCGCGTCCTTGGTTTGGGGGAAATTTCGAGGCCGCATCCTTAAAATCCCCACAATGCTTTGCGCACGGACCAATTTTAAAAACCCTTGCGGAGAATGGCTGAACCGACGCCGCACACATTTACATGTAAGTATGTAGTGGCGTAGAACATGTGTTGGTAAATGTGTTACTTTGTTACATTTGTTATCACCAACAATGTGTTCCGTGAAAGTAAAGCAAGTTCATAATTAGATAGACATCGTGAGGTATTTATTTTCGGTACAGTTTATGTTGAAACCGTTAGAGAGAGTGGCACACTTGTTAGCCTGTTCCATTCTTCTTCGTTTTCTGAAGCCGTGGCTTGGAAGCATACTGGCTTCGTTTCTGAAGGAAGTGATTTGGAAGTACGCGACTACCAAGCCAGCATCCTCGCGATTGAGAAACGGCCAGAGTCTCGTTCGCTCTCTCGGTTGGAGGATCTGTTTTTGAGAGCAGCTACCTGACGTTCCCTTCCTCTTAGTTTCAACACCTTGCACTCCACCACGTTCACACACCCACACCCACACGACTGATCTGACTGATTAACACGTCCCATTGTGGAAGCTCTTTTGTTTAGTTGTTTGGTTTACAATAAATATCTTCCTTATATCGTGTCCGTTCCACGTTTTTGTTATCGCCAAGAGCCAGGCCCTGACAAGACTGTGAACAAAACAGTGGCCGTTTCTCAATGTCGAGTACACCTGCTGCAGAGCCGCTATTTCAAGTATACTACGTCATCTAGCGGCGCCGAATGCTGGGCATTTAACATGCATTTAAAAACAGTCCTTCGGCGCCACTTGATGACGAAGTATACTTGAAATAGCGGCTCTGCAGTAGGTTTACTCGACATTGAGAAACGGCCAGTGTTTCTTATTAAGTCTGCCGAATAATATTTGATTCATTAATTTATTTCAGATATTTGTAACAAATACTACGCTTACTGTGATTTGAATACTGCAGCAGTCCATATTGCGATTTAGATTAAATGTTGATTGCGCAGCCCTGTAGTGAAAATCTGATATTCATAGCATCATAACATCTATACAAAATATAAGAAAATCAATAATGCCATCAGTGAAATTCATCTTTTCCTTTGTTTAGTGTACGTTTCGTCTCTTTCTTGGCGAATATATGACACTAAGTACAAGTGAAGGGACGTGAAGATGGTCTGAAACTATAGCTGTAGAAGAAGAAAGCAGAGCTATCAATAGCTATCATAATGGGTGTCTTTCAACATGATATCAATTATTTATATTTCAATGATCTCAATCACACAGGTAGATTGTAAAATCCCATTTGTATTTATATATATATTAACATTTGACCCTTGAAGTTTATCAATAAGGCACTTATTATGAACAATGTCTGGACCCTCTGTCCTTGCAGCAACTTGTTATGCAACACAGAGCAGCTGTATTACAATGAATGCATATTATAGCAAAAAATACCCTACAAATTCCTATGATTACTTTAAATTGTTATTTATGTCCAACTAACAGACTGACAGTCTAAAATCAAAGCATATTCCATTTACTATATGATATAAGAAGACATAAAGGGGAAAAGGTGGACATCCTCACAACTAAGAAGCTGAAAGAAAACATTTGTAGCATTTTTTCATGAAAAAATTACTTGAAGAATTAATTAATTATGAAAATGATAAGCAGATTTACATTCTGTCAATTGACTAATAATTTAATCTCTCATATATATTACTTGGGTTGTAAATGTGTTTGTTGGTTTAAAAAAATATTACTCTATGATATGTTCTACCCTGTAGGAGAGTTGATGTACTTTATCACGTATTCATTTGATTCTAGTTTTAATAATATGTCAGTACTTTGAGGAATGTATTAATCACATGGTACTTCCTCTTATTGATATATATATACAGTAAGTATTATAATAAAAGGTTTTATAGATTACGCAAAAGCCCTCTCATCCAAACATGTGGCTAACACATCAGAGAGGAAGCAGGTCAGGCTGACTAAGCAGTGTGACCAGACAATGAACCTTTAACAGCTGGAGGCCTCTTTAAAAAAAAAAAAAACACCTCCAGTGTGACAGAGGACAGCTCGGTTACGGATGGATGCAGGTTACGCACGGAGAGACGAGAAAAGAGGTTGAGAAAAAAGTAAATGAGGAAGAACCAAAGAGAGGCTGTGATGGCGGAGAGAGTGTCCGAAAACAGAGAAGGGTAGACGGGGGAGCAAAGGGGGGGTGAGACGGTGGCTATCGGTCTGTCTGAGAGGCCAATTTGTCAAATTAAACATCCCAAAATCTGCCAAAGCTCTCCGTGACGCTTATGAAATCTCCTCTTATCTTGCATTCTAAATCACAGCAATGGAGAAAAATAAACCCAAACGACCTGGATGCGCCCCCTGTCTCTCCTCCCCGTGTCCTTGGAGCTCCTTTTTCCCGTATAAACGAAGCCAAAGTGGCCCGGTCTGCAGCCCCCTATCCTCGCCTCGCTGCCATCCGGTGCGCGTCCTCCGGACTAAAACACCACTGTGTATCCTCCCCCCCAGATCGGTGCATCTGATGGGGGTTAAACGGTGTAGTGTGTCCGCACAGCTGGATACAACAGCAGCAGCACATAAAGAGAGCCGGAGAGAGAAGGTGCCATGGTGGCAGCCAGCAGTGTATGTGCCCCGCATGGCACGGCGAGAGGAACCGCGCTTCCACATCCAGCTTTCTTTCCCCACACAGCAACAACCACAATCCATGCATGTTTTAAATCAAGATAAAATATCAATCCCTACCCCAAAAAGCAGCCACCACGCGTCGCGGAGTCTCCAGCAGAGACAACAGGGTTCCTCTCAGCGCAAGACAACAATAAAAATGGGGCGCAGCTGGCAGTGCCACCGGATGTCCAATATTAATTGTTAATACGGCCGATTTCTAAGCATGTGGATCGGCGTTAACATGCAGCCTCGTGCAGGTGTAACAAGTCAGTTTTACAGCCACACACACACATACACTCGGACTTTGGTTAAATATTAAAGTTGACGTGAGGAATAAATCACACAACAAGTTTGGATGCTGTTTGTCCTCCTGCAGGTGCTGCTGCCGATAGGTGGGGGAAACGATGCATGCCCAGGCAAGTTATTACCGCTTTAAAATGTGGGGTAAATAGATCCATACAAAAGGTTCAGTTGCGTGAAAACAACACACAGTGAGCTGTTTTAACTGCGTACCAAATGTGTAAATGCACTCAAACTGCATTTTAAGTACACATATATCGTAATAATGTCTATGTAAACATTTAAATTGACGTTGTTACATATGTTGTGCTTCCTGTGACAATGTTTCGAAACAATCCTATAAAAAAATCCTCCAAAATCAAGTGTGCCAAGCATGCTACATTGTGTAAATCCAAGTGAAAGTAGCCATTTGTATCATAGAACACCATTCAAAGCACATATCTTCCCTCTGTGTTTTCAAATATGCGTCAACAACTCGTTAAACTTGATGTAAAAGCGCATTTCACGCGTGTATGATACGCAGTAAAGCGAAGGCAGGGAGATTTACCCTATAGCGTGTCCTCGGATGTCCCCTTCGGAGTTAAGGCTCCTCCGGACCGGGGTAAAATGTCGGCCTCGGCCTCTCCAGATGATTATTACGCACCATCCACGGACAGGCGCGCATTGGACAGTCTCAGGATCCCCGGCGCAGCGACGGCCACATGCAGGAAGTTAGTCCACGGGAGTCGCCGGCTGCTATATGGCGGATAAACGGGACAGTAAAGATGGTTGTAGGACTGTTCAACATCCCTCCACCCCCCTTTGCCTGCTTCACCACCACCACCTCCTCCCCCCTCTCTCTCTCTCTCCCTGCCTCCCCACCATTGGCCTACCGATGCGGAGATGAGAGAATAAAAGCACTCATGAATCTAATTCCCTTTATAATAAAAGTTGTATACGTGTGTTTAACATCCAATAAAACACACCCCTTCTCTCCACATGTATTCTGAGAGAGGTGGAGGGTGAGTTCGACAGCCTTTGCGTGCTCTTTGTTGTTGTTGTGGTGGTGGAGCAGCAGTGTGGCTGTTGGTTGTTGTTGTTTGCGTACTTTTTAACAGCGCGTGGTAGGGTTCAGAGGTGGTTAAATGTACAGAAAGCAGTTGTAAGTGACTGACCTTATCGAAAGGGGAAGTGTGTCAGCTGTAAAAACAGTTTCAGCTCTCATCGGTGGACTGGGGGGCACTTGAGTTCACGAATAATCCCGTAGACGAACCGTCAATCTCGAGAGAGTGGGGTGAAAGACTTCTGGCAGTGGGATTTCAAAATAAAACGATATGGTGCAATTTTGTTATTAAATACTAGTTTATATATCAACATTTTTATTCTGTTTTATTTTATCTTATTGGAAATTGTTTCTTTAACTTGTGTTTGTATAAATATATTTATCCTATTTATTTTTTAATTTGATTCATTCAAATATATTTTTTTATTGTATTTGATCTTTTTTTGAATGTTTTACTTAAAGGGGACCTATCATGCAAAATGCACTTTTTGATGTCTGTTATACATCAACATGTGTCCCCGGTGTGTCGGGGAACTCACGCAGCGTCAGGAAATAAAACCCTCTCTCTTTTCCTCCGTACCCAAATCTCTAAAAACGGGGGAACAACGGAGCTGATCCAGATTTGCGTCCGATATGACGTAATATCTGAAATGTGGACCCACGGCCCAATCAGAAACGTTGCTATCAGAAACAATGCCCGACTGTTTTGGACGTAATATGGTCGGTGTTTACATTAGCATCGCTAACACTCAGAGCTAACCTGTACTGGAGAGCATGTGTGTGAAGAAGCAGGAAGTAAAAATGAACTCACCTTGTGGTATAACCGGTAAGAGAGAAAGCCTTTGAGCTCCAAACTGTTTCAGAGAGAATCCTTGATGATCTATGATATGGCGTTTCATCACGGCAGCATTTAGTTTAGACGGTAGCTGCCGGGTCCCGCATGAGCTCAGACCCCTCCTTTTTGCTTTATACTCAAACAGCACTTTAGAAACAGGAAGTGAAATAGAGGGATATGAGGCATGGCTAGAATGATCTGTTTGGTATTTGGAGCAAAACACTTCATAGACATGTTTTTAATATATTTGTATATATCTGAGACCTATGCTATTGCCTAAAAATAGCACGATAGGTGACCTTTAAGTTTAAAACAATTATCTGTATTATTTTGTAATTGCATCTCTTGATTGCACATTCTTACTTCAACCTAATACAAATATATATATTTCATTCAATTTTGTTTTGTTATTTTCTTAAATTAACTTTTTATGTAAATATATTCTCTGCACATTATTTAATCTTTATTGGACATTTAATGTTTACTTATCAACCCCTAAAGCACACATGTCAAACTCAAGGCGAAATTAAATCCACCGGGGGCCGGATTTGGCCCTTGGTGGATTTAATTTCGGCCCGCAGGATAATTTCTAATTACTATTAGATCTGGCCCGCCGGTATATTGCACGCACACCTTCCCTCCATCCTGAGGGTCTCCTCCGCTCAGAGCCTGAGCCCAAACATTGATGACCTTGCACCCAAGATGAGATGCCAAGTATCTGAGCTAGCATCACAGAGCAGCAACCTGAGTTTAATGGATGTTTCCTTCTGCACTTTCTCTCACGACAACAGGGCATGTTTGCTTTTCTCTTTGAGGGAAATAGTTTTGTTGAAGCTGTTGTTGGCCTGTGGAGAAATGTACTCATAAGAAATGCAGATAGAGCCATAAGAAATGAATGCAACTGATTATATCATGTTTAATGTTGTTTTTACAGGTAATAATTTAAGCTTTGTTAGTCCCAGGTGTAATATGTGTAATAAGTTCATTTCAATAAGTTTTGCGATAAACATTGAACCAGTCCGGCCCTCGACTAGAACCCATTTGAGTTTGACACCCCTGCCCTAAAGGCTTATGGGTTTGAATTTAAAAATAAGTATGAGTATTGCTATTTTATAAGTATTGGATGAGCCTTGTTTTATGGAAATCTCTTGAATTTGTAAGACTGTGTTAGAGGTTGAGAAGAAAATAATCTTATTTTAAATTAATTTCACATCAGAATAGACCAGAAAGTTCTGTTGAGTATGCTGTTGTTACTTCAGTTGCTTTACTTTGTGCACCTCAGCACCCTCACGCGTCCATGCAACCTTCACCCTGCGTTTCCACTACTGATACCACTGACGTCCACACCTCATGCTTTACTCACTTTGCACAGAATCAGAATCAGAAACGGGCTTATTGCCAGGTAGGTTCACACATACGAGGAAATTGAATTGATATCGTGGTGCATACATAAAATATAAAACAAAGAATTATAGGAGTTGAGTATAGGAGAGTTATAGAATATAAAATATGAAATAAGAATATGTGCAGTAAGCAGTATTTGAACATTGTGTGCATTAATGTAATGCATAGAGTCTACGTTGTGTCAGTGGGGGGCCGAGCCTTGTTTAAGAGGCTGGTAGCAGAGGGGAAGAAACTGTTCAGGTGGCGAGAGGTTTTGGTCCTGATGGAGTGCAGCCTCCTGCCAGAGGGGAGGGGGGAGAACAGTTTGTGTCCAGGCTGGCAGGGGTCGGCCACTATCTTCCCTGCCCGCCTCAGGGTTCTGGAGGTTTGCAGGTCGTGGAGGGATGGCAGATTGCAGCCGATCTCCTTCTCTGCAGAGCGGATGACCCGCTGCAGCCGGCCCTTATCCTTGGCTGTGGCTGCGGCGTACCAGATGGTGATGGAGGAGGTGAGGATGGACTCGATGATGGAGGTGTAGAAGTTCACCATCATTGTCTTTGGCAGGTTTGGTTAATTTGAATTACTTGATTACCGTTGATATGGTGTGTCTCCTCTTTGTTGTGGCCTTTTGAGCCAGGTCATAACACTATCCAAACCGTAAAGCCAAAACGACCTACCCTAACTCGATACATCTTAAGATTAAGACCATAAGATATATGGTAAAAACAAATATCTGATTATCATGTGCATGCAAACATATACTGGTAGCCTAGTGCAGTGTTTTTCAAAGTGGGGGCCCCGACCCCCCGGGGAGCCGCCAGGGGGCGCCAGGGGAGGTCACGCAAAGTTTGAGGGAAACAGGATTTTATTTTTTAAAGTTTAATTTTTTTATTTTTAGATGTTATTAATAACTGTATATCTATCAATCTATGTGTCCTTTGATGCCAATCTTTTAATATTTTTTGTTTTTGAATCACAGAGTGAAACTGAGTATCTGCTCAGCTTTTGGAGCAAGTGAGAGCTAGTGAATGTTTCGCTCTGCAGCTGGATGAGAGCACGGATGTAGCAAATGTCGCAGAATTGCTTGCATACATCAGATTTATTTCAGAAGACAACTTTGTTGAGGAAATATTATTTTGCAAAGCACTGGAAGGTAGGACCACAGGAAGAGACATTTTCCAAGTATTCATCATCTCAAATGGACTTGACTTGTCTCGTTGTGTGGGTGTTTGTTCAGATGGGGCAGTGGCTATGACAGGCAAAAAAGCGGAGTAACAGCTTTTATCAGGCAGAAGGCCCCAAATGTAGTGGCAATGCATGCTCAATCGTGAGGCACTTGTACACATCATTTAAAAAGGGTTAGACAACAAAATTGCTACAGGGGGTCCCCGCCAGAGGATAATGCTATATGGGGGTCCTTGGCATGGCAAAGTTTGGGAACCCCTGGCCTAGTGGGCTAATATGGATAATAAATGGCAACTTGTGGGATACTTACATTGAAAATGAACTAAACAAAATGCATACAATACATACAACATTTGAAAACATATTCCTACATTTTCATATCTTCATTCAGTAAATCAGTCATTTACTTGACTATAAACCTGAATCTTATTATTTTGGAAATCCTACTACCGTACTTCCGGTCTGGTGCTGTCTCATTGCTTTTAGATTGACCCAGATTTTCAGTCCGGGAAATCGAACACGGTGTGTGTGACGTCACGCCGCGTCACAGGGGCGGAGTCACACGACCCGTGTTTAAGGACACCGGGGAGAATGGAGCTGTGAACCCGCTGACCTCAGCCTTTTCCCGGGCTGCTTCAGAGCAGAACCCCGCTGGAAACACTTCACCTCTTTACCGACATTATACGGAGCAGAACGGCCGGGCAGGAGGCCTCAAAAGCAGGTTAACTACAACTCAACAGCCCCCACTTTAACGTGTGTAAATCCTATGGTTTAAACTCACTGCTTTGTAGTTCTCTTTTTCATGGATTAAAGTAAAGAATAAAGTGTTATTTTATGAAGTTAAGCAGAATTATTAGACAGTACAACAAGCTATAGTTTGAATTAAGGTCAATTATCAGCTCTTCACAACAGAAACTGAACATTAGATGTAAACATACATATACTTTAATTTATATTTTCCTTTTTCTGACATTACAGTTGTCAAAGGCTAATAGGAAAACGTATGAAGTAAAGTAGTGGAAAATATAATGATTGTGACTACTTTATGGGATATTTGTATGATTTTTGCATCACTGAGATGAGGCTTGTTCTCACTCCTTGTCTATATTCATAATCATTTTAATTCCATTGATGTTATATTTACCTTCATGCTTTTTGGGTGCTTTAAATGCTACTAAGGGTTTCTAATCATAAATGTTCATGTTATTTATTTGTTATATACAATGAAATATAACAATCTGTATCAGCCTTAGAAATCCTGCCTCTGTTGTGCTCTATTTTACAGAATTACATTATTATATTAGAATTAAGCAGCTGCTCCCTTGTGATGAACAGACATCTATAGAGGAGCCCCTGTTATTGAGGCCAGCTCGTATAGCTGTTTACGTAAGGATGGTTTAATCCAAAAAGTAGGTTGTCATGGCGCATTAAGCCACCATTTATGAACATTACAGAGGATAAGCTGCGGCGTGTTTATCCGTCTGCACATTTAAGCCCATACGTGTAGGCCTATAGGCGGTGAAACAATGTTTAGCATTCAACAGAAATGTAGGCCAATGCTTGGATAAATCACAATTAAAGGACAATACCATATTCTTAGTAGGAAGGAGAGTGAATATAATATTGTCCTCTCTCCTTTATCTATTTTCGGTTGTGAAACACATCACCCAGTCTCAAATCGCTGTTGATTTTGTAATGTCATGTAGATTTTATGGGCTGTTGGACTCATTAATGTGCATCCCTAATGAGAAAACAGTGCTGCACCTACACTCATGTATCTGAAGCTGTTAATTATGGATTGATGCTGGCCTATAGGTGGTAATGAAATGAGAGCATTCTTCAATAAAAATAATCATAATCTAGCCTGCAGGTTCACATTTAACATGTTGTGCCAGGGTCGGCGTCATGGGGGGTCATTCGCGGGCCATGCCCCCCCAAATGAGTCACTGTGCCCCCCCAACGCAGGGTGGGCAAGCCTTGCCACTTTGCCGTTTTTTTTTTTAATCATATAAGTGAAAACGTTTCCATTAAAGGTTTTTTGTGTGAAATACATCAGAAATAAAGAATACAAATATAAAACACAGCCTGAGGTGTGCTCACTGCTGCTCTCTGATTGGTGTGTTGCTTGACCAATGACCCCTGACCTTTGTTTTGTTATCATTACGTGGCTGTGTGTTTAGATGAAAGCCGGTGGCAATCTGTTCATCTGTTACACTGATTATACAGTAAGCCATCGGAAATAATATGATATACAGTACAGTACAAGTAGCCTACTTCTGGGTCTCTGTGTTTCATTCAAGCTCGGCTCTGTGTGTGTGTGGCACGAGCGCATTTTGTGAGTGCGCGAGCGGTAACGTGGAATGTTGTTGTTAGCATCTGGTTAGCTAGCTATGCTAACGGATATAAAGAGCTGTTTCTACACCAAGGTGGAGGAGAGCCTCTCCTGTCAGACTGAGAGGATCTTATAACGTCAGCTCAGTGAGGTAAGGACTCTCTCAGTGTTTAGATAGGTCACTTTAGTGTAAGTTATCTCAACGGTTTGGTCACCATTTATGTAAACAAGTATTTGCGAGGAACACATTTATATGATCATTAGCCTATAGTTATTAAAAAAATAAGAGAATAAATGAAAAACGGGTATGAAATACTATAGGACAGTAACACAAGAATACAGTTTAAAAGGGGAGTGATTAGTAAAATATCCATAAAGAAAACGTAAATCTGTGTACAGTTCTGTTTCATATGGATGCTGAGAGATGTAGGCTATCCATAGATCTCTTCATTTTGCTCTCAAAGTGCACCAGATTGATGCTTTTAACTTCAATATTTTAAAAATAATCTTCCCGAGGAGCATGCCCCCAGACCCTCCTAGAGGAGCTCCACCCCCACCTAAAACATGTTCACATGGATAGGATACTAAATACATTTGCACACTTTTTATATGGTGGCCTATGTCCATATGTTTCTGTTTTGGTGGTCGTGCCACAACCGTGCATGTATGCAGAAGTCATAGGTGCGCTAGAAAATAGCACTACACCCTGCATGTGTGTGAAAGACAATAGACTTTACAGCATGTTTTTTGAAATTGAAGTTGCGTTGGTGTTTGTGTGTTGGTTGTTGACGGCAGTTTGTGCCCCCCCTTGGTAAATGATTGCCCCCCCCCATTCGATTTGTTCTAGAGCCGACCCTGTGTTGTGCCATTAACCTCAAGGTTCAAGGTTCTTTATTAGTCATCCAAACATAGCTACAAAGTAGTTATGTCGATGAAAATCTTAGGTCACAGGCTTCTCCAACAGTGCAACACAATATTACAGAAAAACAGAAAAATAGAGTGCAAGTAAATATTAAAAGTAAATGCAAAAAGAAAGGAATAGTTTAAAAAAAGGGAAATAGTGAAATAAGAGTCTATATGCAAGTTATTGGAATGATATATTAGGTAAATAGATAAATGATTACTAAGTAGCAGATGAATGTTATGGATGTTGTTACAGCAGTTCAGGTGTTTAACAGTCTTATTGCCTGTGGGATGAAACTGTCTCTGAATCTGGTGGTTTTAGTCCGGATGCTGCGTTAACGCCTGCCAGACGGCAGCAGACTGAACAGTGTGTGGCTGGGGTGATGGGGGTCTTTGATAATCCGGAGGGATTTCTTCCTGAGCCGCTGGGAGTAAAGGTCCTCCATGGATGGCAGCTCCGTCCTGGTGATGTGCTGTGCAGTTTTCACCACCCTCTGTAAAGCCTTACGATTGAGGGCGGTGCAGCTGCCTGGGTTTATCAGGATTTCTGGAGCCAGACTCAGGAGGAAAATCAAGGAACTGCAGTTTTTTGGTTCATTTTTTTATAACCAGAAGTTACTGCTTGGTCTGCAATTTAAAAACATTGCATCAATAATATACCAGTAAATGATCACTATAACCATCTCTATCACATACATCTGTTAAAATGTGAAATGGAGTTTAATATTATTACATGCCTTAGTTTAATACCCAATTCTGATAGGTTGTTAATTTTCGCTAACAGACCGTTGCTAAGGAGAACAGACTGTTGCTAAGAAGGATCAAGGGACTATGTGCAGTTATATTAAAGGGGACCTATCATGCAAAATGCACTTTTGTACGTCTTTTATACATGAATATGTGTCCCCGGTGTGTCAGGGAACTCACCAATGTCAGAAAACACAACCCTCTCTCTTTTCCTCCGTACCCAAATCTCTAAAAACGGGGCTGCAACGGATCTGATACAGACTAATCCAGATTTGAAATATCTCTGACGTCAGAAATGAGGAGCTCCGCCTATATGGTCAACTCTCCACCTATCAGGAGGAGACAGCCACGGCCATTGCCGTTCGAAAGCGCTGGAGACGCTGTAGTACATATGCCAGGCCTGTAGGTGGCGCTGTAGTCTGCCACAAAAGCAGTGAAGAAGACTTCTCACAGATTCAGCTCTTGCAAAAACAGGGCTGGAAAAGAGCAAATAGAGCGAAATGAGGCATGGCTAAAATGCATGATCTGTTTGGTATTTTGAAAAAAACACTTCGCAGACATGTTTTATAGGTATGGCCCTACAATATATTACTCAAATATAGCATGATAGGTCCACTTTAATTGACAGAAAGAAGTCCTGTCGATTTAAGGTCAGCTGTGGACAACAAACATTATTTTTCATCCATCAGAAAACACAGTGGAATACTTTGTTATTATATTTATCAAGAGCACGAAACTTTGGATCCTTCGTGTCGTGATCCTGATCAAATTAACCCATACTTTAAACGTTTTTTATATGAAATGCATGCAGCTCAGTTCATCATTTAATTACAACACATTATTTAAGTGAAGGCCTTGAGTTATATGTTGCTTTTAAATTCAGATTTTGACAATTTTTTACCTCAATGCAATTCTAGAAGAATCATTGTTTAGTTAAAAAAAACTGACAATTTTATAGATTTGTTCTCCTGAAATTGTGAACTGTGTTGGCACCAAAGTATTTGTAGGCTTTAAAGGGGCCCTGTAAATCTCAGTTACAAAATCGTATTTGTATGTTGTGCCTCTACTGTGACTTGTTTACATGCTGATTGGTTAGCTGGCTGGCTCTGTTGTGATTGGTCAACCGCTTAGAGATGTCTCGCCCCTTAGCCTATCACGTACAATGTATTAGAGCGCTAGCCAATAGAATCGTGAGTGTTACAAAGTGATGTTACTATCTTACAGAAGTAAACAAAGGAGTCAAATGGAGGCGTTTCGAAAAGGCAAACATACCTTAAAAAGTATTTTAATTCCAGCTCCTATAGTTTTCCCTTTAAAGTAAATTCATTGAGGGAATATCTTTGTATAGCATGTTCCTGAATTTGAGTATTTGAATTGACATATATGTTTATTTGTGCCTTGTGTATTTTGATGGCTTTGTTGCAAAATGTCTCCGTTTTTTGTACAATTATTAAAATAGGTGTGTGTGAATCATGCATACGTGCCTCCCTGTGTCATTGTGAGCATATTGTGTCCTTTATTTCCATCATAACCCCGCCGAACTGACAGGAAGTCCTTCAGCATCGTCCCTTCTCTCCCGCTGTGCAACAACATCAGCACAGATACAACAGGAAGGTCGACACGCATCATATTTATTTTTCTCTTTTGCACAAATAAAAGACTCAGAGGAGTTTAAATGATACGATTAACCTCCAGAAAACCAAACGTTTGGAATGAAAACATGGTGTTGTTATTGTATCCTTGTGAGATAACGTTCAGTTCGTATGAGGTTTCAACATGTGTGAATTGCTTCGACGAAAGAATCTTCCAGTTGAACAGCTTTGGCGTTTCCATTTAAATGTGTGTAAACATGCACACCCACAAGTTTCAACAGACGCTTGTATGAGACATACTTTTTATTGGGTGTTTTCAGATACAATTCCACTCACATAGAAGCAATTACTTCACATAAATACAAGGTCACAGATATAATCTCATCTCAACCACATCTGTTATTTAGAAGATTTTTGTGACAACTCTTAACACACAAAATAAAATCGATCGCCACCTCCATCCATGTTTTTGGGACTACATGACAGATTTAAAAAAAGCAAATAACTGAACAGATACATAAGAAAATGAAACCATGTTTAAGGTCGATTCACACTCAGCATGTTGTGGAGGGGTTTATTTAAAATGTGGAGGGTTCACTGCTATAGTTGAATTTGTTCGGCCATTTGTTGGTTCACGGACACTGAGAATGTGGCTTTTGGGGCTGCACAATCGATACTCACCATTATTCACTGGTGCAGTATTCAAATCACATATCCAATGAATGAATCCCTGCATACACAATATATTCCACAGACCTAATCAAATATTTGTGTGGTACAGATCGTCTTTAAGAGAAATCACACCATGATCCTATTAATTTTTCATGTTTCAGAAATGGTCATTCCCTCTATGCCCCACGAACAGTCAACGCTAATGAGATCATAAATCATCACAATTGCAATATACGTCAAAATAATAGCTACAATTACTTTTTCCAAATTATGCTCCGTTTGTTTGCCAGCTAACTGAAGCATGTTGCATTATGGGATTGGGATTATTATGCAAACCGACGTTGAAAACAAACCCAAAACACAAGGGATTGTGGGTAAATCTCTCAGTTGGGCAGTTAATGGTTGGAAAGCCCAACTAAGATTTTAATTTGTCAATCATAATGTCTAAAAAAATGGTCTTTCCCTCTAATACCGCAGGAAGAATGGCCAAAGCTGATGAAGATCCAAAAAAAGGACATGGTGGATCATATTGCAATTCAATATATGTGTCTTGCTTGTGTTTCTTGTGGCTTTGTTAGTTTGCCAGCTATTCGCAGATGAAGCTGCTGGGACTCCCAGCAGCTTCTACTGAAGCCAGTCCCCAACTCCGGGGACTTCCGGCCGGGGACTTTGGGCGGCAGTATACGCCGTGAAGTGGTTTGCGGCCTGCCAGTAAACCCAAAGCAGAAGAAGAAGAAGTGACGTCAGCGGCTTCATTTGCCTAATCCTCCCTCAGGGAACTTATTCCAGTGTGAACGCGATCTGTACTTAGTTCATGAGAACTAAAGAGTTCTCATGAACTAAGTTCTCATGAACCTTTGTGGGAAAAGTACTGCGGTGTGAATGCGCCACATGAGCAGATGGCCTCTTGTAAAGCAGCCTGTGTGTGTATGAATGTGTGTCAATGGGTGAATGCTGACTTCTATATGTAAAAGCACCGTAAGGGGTCACAGGGACTGCAAAAGCTCTATATAAATGCAGTCCATTTACCATTAAGCTCTTTGTTCTTGTGCTCTCGCCTGGTGTGGACCCAACACTGTAACAGGAGCTAGTGTCAGGTCTGTGTTGACTCTAAAACAACGTCTCTAACTTGGCAGGTTACCAACACTTTGTCCAACAACTGAGCTACTTGTGAGTCCGCTTTGGTTTACAAGCTCCGGTTCACTTGAGACTGCAAACTAAACAGAAGCATTCCTTCAAGGAAAGCCTCACTTTAATAGAGTAACTCACTGTACATGGCTTTATGTACGCTTTTATATGCATGCCACCACCACAACTACCAAGGAGGGCTGGAGGAAAAGATACAACGTAATTTGGTCTTTCTAAAAAGTAGCTGTATATTGATTTTGATTCTTTTTGGCTGAAGCAAAGTGGTTTTAGAGAGGAGGAGGGGGGGGGGGGGGTTAGTGTGAAGGAAGGTTGTAGGGTGGAGGTAGAGGATCTGAGGGTTAGAAATGGGGAGTGGAGAGGGGAGACGTAGTTGTGGTGGTGGCTGGCAAACAGCATCAGTAGGAGGCAGGTGTTAATGTATACTCACATCTTGTTTAAGACATTACTAGAAATGTGGTAACCTTTTTAAACTAAGCCAAGCACAAGAACAACCACCAATGTCCAATACAAAACTACCATGACTCGACAAAATATCTGATCTTGAACACATCTTGAGGATCCTGGAGTGCAGGTCTGTTGGTGGTTCCCATAGTCCACAAAAAAAGGTCAGGTGCAGAGCTTTCGGCCACCAAGCCCCGTTCCTCTGGAATCAACTTCCAGTGACGATCAGGGAGGCAGACAGTGCCCACACATTTAAGAGCAGGTTAAAGACTTTCCTTTTTAGTACAGCGTACAGTTAAGACTGGTTTTAAACCCCCTTTTAAACATCCTCATGGACCCTTCGTTTTATGGAATTTTATTTATTGTACTCTAACTGTATTTGTGTCATGTTCCTTTTTAAATTGGTATTTTCACATTGATCTTGTAAGATACGTTTGTTGTGTTTACATTGCCAATTGTGTTTGCTGACTTGTGAAGCCCTCTGAGACAAATAGGATTTGTGATTTTGGGCTATATAAATAAACTTGAATTGAACTTGAATCAGATAGCTATTGGGGTCTGTTAGCGTTTCGGAATAAAAGGCTAGTGTTTGATTGGGTATCAGAGGTTGGATAACTGATATTTCTAGATGTTTGGTAGTGTGAAGCATTGACATGTTAACATAATTGGAGACAGCGTTGGAGGCGCACGCTGACTTTCACCCCCACTCAAATGCATTAGAGTACACATGTACAGTACGAGCATATGCTGTACATTAATTATAATGATTAGTCTTGATCTTATGAATACTAATTGGGGATTTGAAACCAACATTTCCATTTTTTTCCCGCTGCAATGTGTCTTACTTTTTTAAAACAAGGAAAATGTAGAAAAAGTATTCAGCCCAATAACTATTAAACGTCATACTTTGAGCACATTATCCAACATTAGCCAATCAGAAGCATCTACCACTGATATGGTGCGGGATTTTTGCAGATGACAGCAAATGAAAAAACACTTTGAGTTAACGGTACTTTTTTCGTTTTGAATATGAATCCATTTGAAAGCAGCTACTTCTCCGCTACTTAAAATATGTGAGGGGTCACTCCTTAACTGTCAATGGCGGAATATAAGGAAAAATATTGGAGAAGTATTTTCCAGGTGGAGGGAATGAAGATTAAAGGATTTGAAGAAAAGTGGATATTATCAAGAAATCTGTCAGCAGCTCCAACGCAAAGAGGTGTCCCTACAGTACATCTGCACAAAGGCCGGGGGAGAATGGGCAGGATTTCATCAAAGGGGGTCGAGTGGAAAAGAGACTGAATTGGGCGATGAGATCACCATGGCAACTGGGACCTCCGCGGTGTGGAGCATGAGGGTGGTGTGTGTGTGTGTGTGTGTGTGTGTGTGGGGGGGGGTTAATGCTGAAGTGCTCCAAAGTGGAGGGAATCGCTCTTCAATTTGATGGTTTTGGGAGATTCTCATGGCGGCAGTCCAAGTACTCACAGTAATGAATTCTACACACACACACACACACACACATACACACACACACACACACACACTAACAGTTATATAACACGACCGCACGGACACTGAGGTCATCACGCTTACCTCAGTGTCCGCGGGCTAAATAAATAAGAATACTCAGAAATCATGTTCCCTGATGGTGGCGATATAAAAATAAAAATGTAAACAAACACAAAGAAAAACTAAAGATTGCACGTTTCAGAGAAGGACGATTCATATCTACTCCTATTGGATGGTGTTTCCCTGGAAATCGTTCTTATCAGTAACAAAAAGAAACTCACATATTTCCTCATTTAAAATGTGTTCACAAAAACCTTCCATTTACTAAGTCACAACTTCAAACTGCGTGCATCGTATCGGAGTCACAAAGTGGATTACTCCCCTCGTTTTAAAACAAAAAGTGTTTTAACACACTCAAAACCTTAAATTCCAGTTACTGTACATTAATGGTAATGTTGAGATGAAGTCCAGCCAACCACAGGGTAGGAATGATGAGGCGTCGCGTCACACATGATCCTGGAACAGAGAGGAAACAGAAATCAGAACAAAATATATATATATATTAAAGGTCCCATGTCATGCTTTTCTGGTTGTTACCCATCCCCTTGTGTTATGAAGCTTTGTCTGCATGTGAACGGTCTGCAGAGTCACAAACCCTCAAAGTGCACCCTGTAGCGAGTAAAACTCTAACACAGGAAATACCTGTCTGTGCTGCCCCAGAACGCCACGTTGGACATTTCTCTTTTTCCATTGTTTACTTCCTGGGTTCTGTGACGTATTTCGGGTATAGTGACGTTTGGACCAATCCGCAGACTTCCTCACACACACACACTCGGCGGGACGTTGCGAGGCTCGCTGCTGCGAGGAGCGGGACAATGTGAGCTGGCTCACTGGTGTGGGGTCGGCGAGACAGCGAGACACCGCGGAACTCAGCCTGGGCACACACACAAACTCCCAGCCAGGCTGTGGGTGTGTGTGTGTGTGTGTGTGTGTGTGTGTGTGTGTGTGTGTGTGTGTGTGTGTGTGTGTGCCCAGGCTGAGTTCCGCGGTGTCTCGCTGACGACCACTGGGCTCACAGGGAGGGGGGGGGGGCAGGAGCTCCAACAAGCTGTTTAGGACAGAGAGTGAATCCACATACTATACAGAGATGCTGTGAGAAACCAATGTGAGTTTGGAAAATTGCACAATATGAATTTATTTTAGTAGACCTCAACAATGGAATTATAATCAGTAGAAATGGCCATGACACGGGGACCTGGAGAATAGAAGGGAATTGGGGCCGTGCTTAACAACAGAACACAATATAAAAACATCCAAACTTGCTCACAGTATAATCCAAATTGTATTTATTCACTACTCTCGAAACCCATTGCATGTGTGTGTGTGTGTGTGTGTGTGTGTGTGTGTGTGTGTGTGTGTGTGTGTGTGTGTATATTGCTTATATATAAACAAATAAACAATATGTTCTCTACTCTCGAAACCCATTACTTGACATGACAAAATGTTACTATTTAGAGAGGACATATTGTGCTAATTTCTTGCAGACCATTGACATGCACTAAAACCTTTATTACAAACCACAGGAGAGGAGAAACCACAAAAAGCAGAATTGGACTTCTTTAAACTCTGACTACTTTTAAATCCAGGCTGAAGACTTTTCTTTTAGCCGCTGCTTTTAATTGAACTATTCACATCTTAGACTTGTAAGATGTATTTTTTTGTGATGTTTATTTTATACTGTCTTTAAAGGCCATTTTCTGAATGTCTTTCATTTTTTGTAAAGCACTTTGAATTGCCTTGTGTTGAAAGCCATATAAATAAACTTGCCTTGCCTTAAAACACTCCTAAATAAACAGTCTGAAACCTTTGTAGGAAAACAGATCATCCAAAAGTGTTATGTTAAAAACAAAGAACGATTTCAGGAAAAATACTAAATATATTTAATAGTAAAATGTGTTTGGGAAGTCCAGAGCATATCACCTGATACGCAGCAGATGTTTTTCTGCCTCGATTCAAATCAATCGCTGAAAACCTTTCTATGCTTTTTGATTCTTTGTTCGCTGTGGAGGCATGTGAGAAAAGAAGAATTCAAGGGAACCACATGGGGAGTAATTGATATGTTAATACTTGTTTTGTGGGTGAAGTATTTCCTTCATTTCCTCAAATATGAGCATTACTTACGAGCAGTACTATGACTGTAAGTATCAAAACAAGATGTTGTTCAGTAGATTCTAGTTCTGCAGGATTTAAGAGCACGAGTGGCTCCGAGCAAACATGCTTTACAGAAATCATAAAAACGCTTTTCTCTCTGCTTTTCTCTCAGCTGACTTCAGTCACTGCAGGCTGTTCGGTGCAGGCGTTTCTTCCTCACTGGAGGAGAAGAATGGAGAGGTTTCTGAATTGCAAACAGGCGAGTACAGTATGCAGCCTTCAGGGAAACCTTTGCTAACAAGAAGCCAACAGAAAGAAAATCTTCTTCTCACGATTTTGTCTCCTTTTGATATTTTCCTTTTGTCTCCTTTTGATATTTTCCTTTTGCTACGGGTCGTTTTTATGAAAGCAAGAATTACATCAGGACACTAATTGTTTTTTATACGGTATCAGATCTATTACTCGAGTGCAGTGTTTCTTAAACTTTTTCACACCAAGGACCACTTAACCACTAAAAAAACACTCGCGGACCACCTAACTCCACGGATATCCAAAATCACATCGTTTTTCTAGAACAGATTACAAATCGCCTGAAAATGGTACAAACAAGTGGCAGCATGTGTGATGAAGGTGTTGCGCTGGGCTATATCATGCAATCAAAAACTTAAGCTCGCTCCATTGCGGAGATATTCCCGTGAGAGTGCGGAAAACTTAAATGTATTTATTTATTTCAAATGTGAAATTTTACCAATATACTCACGGACCACTAGGGGGCGCTCACGGTCCGCGGACCACACTTTGAGAAGCACTGCTCTAGAGTTTCATTTCCATTCAGTAGGCTATGGTGAACCCAGCACAATGTGGGTTAATGTGTTTATTATAATCCAAAGCCTCATGTGGATTACATTCAGTTTTCTAGTGGAGAATGATTATGTTTTTTTGTTAAGTTAAATGTTCATTAATTGTCAACCTGCAAATGTTTCTGAGAATTCTCAGAGCCATAATAAAATGACTGTTTTTTAAAATTGTATTCACCATTGGCTATCTTTTAGCTTTGGTTATGGAGAGCCTTGTTCAGTGCGTGAGAGCAGGTAAATATCTCAGAAGGACATATTTTAGAGACATCATAAAAGGTATAGTGTATTTAATCTTTACATGTCTACATTGTCGTTGTTGAATTTTACTTAGAAGATATGCAACTTGCACACTTGTATAATGTATGTATAGATCCACAAACTCACAGAAACATTTAGATTTTCTTGAGTTAAGTTGTGCATAAGGAGGGTGTATTCATTTGATTTACCTTCAATACATTCTTATTTATTTTGTTCTTACCAAACAATCTGAAGAAAGCGTACTAGTCAGTAACTACCTGACTCTCAAAGTCAATTACAAAATAGACAATAACAGAAAAACACTAAAACACATATTATTGTGTATGAAAACACAGCTTGTTTTTGGCTATTTTGTATTTGTAATGTGTAAACCAGACACACAGGCTTTAGATTTAGCCCTCATCACAGGTTGTATCTCTCACAGTGTGTCTGAATTACTCACCATGTTACTCCCAGAAGTAGCGCAGGTACCATATAGTTTCATTCTTCAGCTGAGGGCCAAACAGAGGGTTAGCCTGAGCCAAGATGGCTACCAACCAGCTGCATACAAAGAGAGAAAAACATGATTAACACACTGGTCTCCAACACATGAAGGATTTACCTTTTCTTTGGTAAATGCAGCTTTCTTTGATTTTACAGCTCAGGTCTGGCAGCTTCACTCTTAAATCAATACACCGATTAGAGTGGTGCAGTGTTGATGTATTTATGTAGGCCAACCCATAAATTATCATCTCCCTGGTTCCCTCGACATCAAATCCCATTCGATTTCGGAATATTGCAGAACATTGGATCTGTGGCATGCACACCTTTATGATACTTACACGTTTTGTTCAGCAGGATCATCTCCACATTTAACACTACTTTGTGAATTTTTGAGTAAAAAGCTCATGTTGGGCTATAAAGAATCTACAGCAAGGTCACATGACTTCACGTCACCACCGCTAAGCTAAAGGTGGCTAATGTTGGGCGTGATGACGTTTAGTAGTCTCATTTAGACACTTGTTAGCAACCGCCATTTTAAAATTCACCAATGGGGTTTTACTGATGTATTTTATGTTGTAGAACAAAACGTTAAAATCTCTTTAGCTTGAAATAACCACATCATTTTTTTCTAATCAGAAGTCTAGAACAGATTGAAAAAAATATCAGCTTCGAGACAAGTGAACAGGAAGTGCTGAAATGCTGATTCCCCTGTTTTAGGACTCCTTCCTGCACCACTCTAAATAATAAGTCATACTGTATGTTATATATGATGGTCTTCAAGATGCTACACGAATGATCGATATTATGTAACATTACTCATGAGTAAGTAATGTCTTCTTTATCACTCTGCTTCTGATCAAATTATTCCAACTCATCCTTGCATCATTTCCAAATGTAACCTAAGACCTTTGTTGACTTAAAGGTGGGGTAGGTAATTCACTTCAGAAACACTTTTTGTTATATTCCATGGAATGCTCTTAACATCCCGATAGCAATAAATACATTAAATGCTTTGATAATAAATATATAAAAAAATGTCATCTGTGGAAGCCGTGGCGCTGTAAAAAGCACGACCAATCATCTGAGCCGGCCCGGCTAAAGTAACTGGATGGCCTACCTGCCTGTCAGCCTTCCATCTGGGCACAAACTTATCTCGTGCCCTCATTGGTCATGTGTGCGTTCGTGTGTGTTGGAGGAGGGGCTCTGGAAGGAAGTCTATTTTTTCGGTTGTGTACTTTCAAATTCTAGCGCACTCGAGCTGGTTTCTCCATTCTTACATACCCCACCTTTAATGTTTGGAAATCTACTTTTGTTTATCCACTCTGATGTTAAAGGACTACACTGCCCTCTAGTGGCAGAGTGATACTCCTGCACCTCCTACTTCCTGCTCCAAACACTATCTTCATCATTCATCATATCATCTGCATGGCAATAGTTTTTCCAGACCGTTTTAGGAACTCTTCAATGTAAAACCGCAGAATATGCTGGAGATAGACATCAGTGTTGTTTGTTTGTTTTTTCTTCTTCACCACACAATCAAGCAATAATGCCAAATTGTATACCCTAATAGCTCATAAAGATAACCTTTGTCTTGCATTTGCTGTCAAGATCCATCTCGTTCTCCTGCAGGTTGTTTCATTAGGAGCAGTAATGCGGCTGTCTTTTTATTTCTGGTAGTACTTTTCTTGTCTGATGGCCTTGAGATGAATATCTTCTTTCAGGTTATTAGATTTTCCTTGTACGAACCACTTGACACAGGCTGTATGCCCCGTTTGAATTCTTGCAAATCATTGGCCATTGCTTTTAATTGCTCGGGTCTCCCAGCAACATTTTCTCCAGCAAGAAAACCATTGTGAGTTTTTCCAGGGGTTATTATGACATTTTTCATAGTTGTTAAATGTCAATTGCCCTGCTTTTGTTGATCTTCGCCTCCCATTAATATAAGGCATACAAATGTACATGCATACAAATGTCAAACTTCAAGAGCGGAATACTTTTAGAAATCGACTGAAGCAGAGTGTGATTACGCTGACAGCTATATTAATAAAAAGAGCCGGGGAAAAAACTGCCATTAGTCACATTCATAGAGGAAACACTTATAATGTGAAATGTATTAAAGAAGACATAATCTGCTAATTTTCAGGTGTATATCAGTATGTAGTGTCTCTACTTTAAAGAGTCCTCTCCTGCTGATGTTCAGGTGTATATCAGTATGTAGTGTCTCTACTTTAAAGAGTCCTCTCCTGCTGATGTTCAGGTGTATATCAGTATGTAGTGTCTCTACTTTAAAGAGTCCTCTCCTGCTGATGTTCAGGTGTATATCAGTATGTAGTGTCTCTACTTTAAAGAGTCCTCTCCTGCTGATGTTCAGGTGTATATCAGTATGTAGTGTCTCTACTTTAAAGAGTCCTCTTCTGCTGATGTTCAGGTGTATATCAGTATGTAGTGTCTCTACTTTAAAGAGTCCTCTCCTGCTGATGTTCATGTGTATATCAGTATGTAGTGTCTCTACTTTAAAGAGTCCTCTCCTGCTGATGTTCATGTGTATATCAGTATGTAGTGCCTCTACTTTAAAGAGTCCTCTCCTGCTGATGTTCAGGTGTATATCAGTATGTAGTGTCTCTACTTTAAAGAGTCCTCTCCTGCTGATGTTCAGGTGTATATCAGTATGTAGTGTCTCTACTTTAAAGAGTCCTCTCCTGCTGATGTTCATGTGTATATCAGTATGTAGTGTCTACTTTAAAGAGTCCTCTCCTGCTGATGTTCAGGTGTATATCAGTATGTAGTGTCTCTACTTTAAAGAGTCCTCTCCTGCTGATGTTCAGGTGTATATCAGTATGTAGTGTCTCTACTTTAAAGAGTCCTCTCCTGCTGATGTTCAGGTGTATATCAGTATGTAGTGTCTCTACTTTAAAGAGTCCTCTCCTGCTGATGTTCAGGTGTATATCAGTATATAGTGTCTCTACTTTAAAGAGTCCTCTCCTGCTGATGTTCAGGTGTATATCAGTATGTAGTGTCTCTACTTTAAAGAGTCCTCTCCTGCTGATGTTCAGGTGTATATCAGTATGTAGTGTCTCTACTTTAAAGAGTCCTCTCCTGCTGATGTTCAGGTGTATATCAGTATGTAGTTTCTCTACTTTAAAGAGTCCTCTCCTGCTGATGTTCAGGTGTATATCAGTATGTAGTGTCTCTACTTTAAAGAGTCCTCTCCTGCTGATGTTCAGGTGTATATCAGTATGTAGTGTCTCTACTTTAAAGAGTCCTCTCCTGCTGATGTTCAGGTGTATATCAGTATGTAGTGTCTCTACATGTCTCCATGCTTTAAAGTTCAAAGAGCTCTTTATTGTTCTCGTACTTCCTGTGCTGCAGCACCTCTTTTCACCCTCTGTCTGAAACCAGAGCCCAGTCTGCTCTGATTGGTTAGCTGGCAGGCTCTGTTGTGATTGGTCAACCTCTTAGAGATGTCCCGCCTCTTAGCCTATAACGTACAATGTGTTGGAGCTCTAGCCAATAGGAGCGCGAGTGTTACATAGTGATGTCACAATGTTAATAAAGTAAACAAAGGAGATTAATGGAGGCGTTTAACAAACTACAGGAAAGGGAAAAACCCAAAAAGCAGATCAGGGCCTCTTTAAGGTTTCATTGTAATCAGAGCTGTATGTGAATATAGCAGAGTCTCGTGCAACATGCAAAATGACAGCCGCTTCACACCATAGAAGAAGAAGAGTGTTTACTTACAACAGGTAACAGCAGACGGCTGTGAGGATGAGACTGGTGACAATCACACTGCAAAGAAAACAGAGAGGGGGGGTTACATATCTGCAGCTCTGTGCACACACTCATGTGACACTCACTGTTAATGTGATGATGCGTTCAGGTACCTTACAAACTGACAGTTAATGGGTCGAATGAAGTCTTTTACATTCAAGCCTTTTAAAACACGTATTTTTGTAATCAAATATGATTTTTTTTTAACAAAACATTTAGCAGGTGCAGTGCAAAGTAATAAACAGAGCACTTACTGTTTACAGAAGGCAAATAACATGTTTTTTTAAATCAATAAAATGCAATAAACACATGAAGATAATTCCAGAACTGAATACATGTTAATGGTTCGTGTCATAAATGTAAAATGTTATTATTTAAGTGAAATGAAAGAGAAACCCCCCCATGGCATGCATCCATATCACCCCTTCCTCTCTTCCAATGTTTAATTAAATAATGCAAGGTGTCTAGATAAATAAAGTTAAAATATGTATACATGTCATTTGGTGTGTTGAGAAAACCGAAATGCTTCGAGAAAAATATATGTATCATTATATCATGTGTCTACTTTTCTGATGTGTAATTTGTTCATATATAATTTGTAAGTCAGTAATATTTTTGTTTATAAATGTGACACTGCTTTAGTTTGTATAGTACAATAATGATCGTGTTTCATTTAATTATTATTATTTATTTTTTTGTATTATTATTTTACACATTCGAAATAAATCAAATCAAATACTTGAGTACTGTTGAAGCATTTCTGATGTTTTAATTAACAAAAAGCACTTAGCTTGATTGCATATAGCCTGTGAACCGGTAGCTTCAGCCTCACTGTTATTTACACATATACCAGGCCTCACAATTCTGACTTTTTCAACATTAAACACCAGCAATAACACATTTTTCTTTTAATATTTCCCCCTAAATGATGTTTTGATGCTTATTTATCCCTGAATTGACCCTTTAACCTTACTGTGTGGAAGGAGAGGATGATGGGATGCAGGATGACGCGCAGGGCCTCCATCACTATACTGTGTGTATTTATAGAGATGCCATGCAGCGTAATGCAAAGATAACATTGATTTTGAATCCTAATAAAAACTCCTAATATCCGAAATTAAATGTGTGTGTATAGAATGAAAGAAAACGCTCTTTATTAGTCGGTGTTAATTGCAGCAAATGAACGGCCGCTCGACCACCTACCCCCGGTTCGGTCCTTTGGGTACCAGAAACGGAGCCACGATCCCCACGAGCGCCCATAACGTGGTGAAGCAGATCATCGGCAGCGCGAGAGAGTGAGACACCATGGCTCCTGTCCGCAGAAAACAGCAAATTAACAAGAATTAATGTCGATATGTCCTCCTGGAGATAAAGCGCATCAATGGCTGCTGACACTGCCAGTCGCTTCTGTGGTGTTCCGCCCACTTAAGCCTAAACGCTCCCTGATTGGTGGAGATCGGGGAGATGGTGGAGTCTGATTGGTTCAGCTGGATGTCTATTTGTATTACAGGGAGAAGGATTGGAGGGATGTTTGTGGACAGCAGATTGCAGGCAAATGTTTGTTTTTTTCATCTTCATCCAAACAATGTGGATCTATACTGTGTTTACATATCAGGAAGAAGATAATACAACTATTTAAATTCAGAATCCAGCAGTTTCGACAAAAATACAGTATTTTTCTCTAAATAACCCTATTCAATTCATTTCATTCAGCAGTAAAACAATTAACATATGTACACCAAACAACTCAAACAATACAAAAACTTTTATCATTATGAAATCATTGTTTAAAACAAAACGTTTGTCCTTACATTTGAATGTTTTTATATCTTATTTTATCTTCTGTTGCACATTTTTACTTCTTATGTTTTACTTAATTGTATTCAAAAATGGAACTACTGTCACAAAAAACAGTTTCCCCCTGAAACTAAAGTATTTCTGATTCTGACAGTCGGCCAAATTCAATTCAGAGTGTCCTTCCTCAACGCCTCTGTCAATTCAAAGTTACTGGAGACCGGACTTCAGCACGTTTGCAGGAATACTTTGGTGGTGGGAGAAGTACTCAGATCTTGTAGTAAAAGTAGAAGTACTCAGATATTGTAGTAAAAGTAGAAGTACTCAGATCTTGTAGTAAAAGTAGAAGTACTCATAACTTGTACTTGAGTAAAAGTACCAGAGTGTAGGAATACTCTGTTACAGTAAAAGTCCTGCATTCATTTACTAAAAGTATAAAAGTATTCTCATCAAAATATAGTGAAAGTAGCGACAGTAAAAGTAGTCGTTGTGCAGATTGGTCCATTTCAGAATAATATATATATATGTTTTATAATGATTGATCATGAAAGTGTTCTCAAAGCTGGTAAAGGTGCAGCTAGTTTGAATGGCTTTGTGTACTGCAGGTGAATTTACTCCAGGTGGAACTAAAGTCTGATTCAACACTTGATTAGATTTCACATCCTTCATCCACATCTGTGAAGTAACTGAAGGTATTAAATACATGTAGTGGAGTAAAAGTACAAAGTAGCATAACATGGAAATACTCAAGTAAAGTACAAGTATGGTGCTTCGAAACCAGAGGACTGCAACAAAAAAGGGTCCAAAGACCAAGAGGCTAAAGCAGGAACTGAGAGCAGGAACTGAGCAAAGACTGAGCCGCGATGCGACTCTTAAGGTTCTCTATAGAGCTAAGCCCTCCATCTTTAGAAACATCTGATTTGATTCTTTGTCTTTTCAAAGGATAAGAGTTGATGTTGCTTTCTCACATAATCAATCATTGACTTTTTTAAGGTATGACTATGTAAGCTAAACAGCGGTACCAATCACTTCATATCAATCACTGAACGAAACCTGATCTGTTGAATTAAAAAGGAATCAAACCATAACATACCCGAATATGCATTGCGTTAATGCACACAATGCACAACAATATTTTGTATTACTGCTGATTTGTATTCCATTTTGTATTCCTTCTATTCCATTCCATTACAATGTAAATACTGTTATATTTGATTATGTATTTAATTATTTTTAATATTTTTCTAGTTCTCTCTGTGTTTTTAATTCTTGTTTTTATGCACCATGACATCAAGTCAAATTCCTCGTACATGTACCTGGTAATAAACTCTGATTCTGAATAGAAGTGAACTTGTTTTACAACGACGCACACTTATACATAGGTGCATATACTGTGTTTGTCTACACATGCATTTGTTTATCTCCTTGTATAGTAAATCAGTAAAATACGCACCATCAATGCTGATAAGAGGACAAAAGGGGAAGCAGGGAAATGGGGGTTTGAAGCTGTAAACTCTCCAACAGTCCCCAAACGTTCATAAAACAGGACTGTGATTAGGGGTCTGGTCCCTTATCAGGGTCTCAGGAAAGTTTGAGAGTCGTAAACCCTCGTCGTAAAAGTTGATCAGAGTGGCTCTCCGTTTGTTGTTTTAGTTTCTGATGGTCTGTTCTGCAGAATATCAACGTATTCTGCAAGAATGTAGTTGAAGTCACCAGAAGCCCACTACATCATTTTAGGCAAAATGTTCCTTAACGGTGGGGTAGGTAATTCACTTCAGAAACACTTGTTGTTATATTCCATGGAATGCTCTTAACATCCCGATAGCAATGAATATATTAAATGCTTTGACAATAAATACATTAAAACATATCATCTGTGGAAGCCGTGGCGCTGTAAAAAGCACGACCAATCATCTGAGCCGGCCCGGCTAAAGTAACTGGATGGCCTACCTGCCTGTCAGCCTTCCATCTGGGCACAAACTTATCTCGTGCCCTCATTGGTCATGTGTTTATGTTTATGTTTATGTTTATTAAGGATCCCCATTAGCTTTTGCTCTCAACAAAAGCTACTCTTCCTGGGGTCCGACACTTAAAACAATACAACAATAATACAACAATAATACAGCAACATTTAGGACATAAGTCCTGACATCATTAATAACATTAAAAACATTAAAAACATCACCAATATCATCAACAACATGCGATCAAATTAAATTAGGGTTCACAGCTCACAAGGGTACATGGTCATTAGTAGATGGCCCTTCAATCTCTTCTTGAAAGAGGCTCTGGACTCTATTTCAGTAAGGTAGTTTGGCAATGAGTTCCATTCCTTTATGTGCGTCCGTGTGTGTTGGAGGAGGGGCTCTGTAAGGAAGTCTGAAGGAAGGGGCAGATTTTTTTCGGTTGTGTATTTTCAAATTCGAGCTGGTTTCTCCATTCTTACCTACCCTACCTTTAATTAAAAAATGTGTCAAAAACATTTCTAAGAGCACAGGAGGAAATGTGTCTTCAAAATATAAATACATTGCATAGCAACTGGATACTTTTGACTGGGGTCCTCCAGGACACCAACACATTGGTTTAACTTCTGGTACTAATAAAAAATACTCTAATTAAACAAAAACAGAGAATAATAATATGAAGCCATCAGGAAGAATATGATTGAAAAAGGTCATGAAAAATGTAAGTGATAGTATAAAGCTCCTGTGAGATATGACACAAATATATAGATTTGGTCATCTGTGTGGACCCTGGTTAGTAGGATGAGGTTTAAAACTTCAGACTCAATTTACACAAGTTTAATTCTTTATTTTATATCCAAAACTACATTTAACACAGATGTATTGAATACTTGTTCCATTGAAAAATCTACTTGTGCTGCACAAAACTATATGCTGCTGACTGAAAAATAACAAGATGTTGTGTACAGGGCTCGTTATCCGGAGAAGAAAGGAGGCCTTGGATCCAGTTCGAAGGACCAATTATGTTAGGAAAATATCACTCGACACCGGGATGAGAATCAATGGTCAGGTACTAATTTATTCTTGCAAGAATGAGCAGTGTTAAGTCACATACAAAGGATATGGTTAAACTCACACACATGAGGTATGCTGCTCAAGGGAGCAGGAAACAACATCAAGCTTATATAGTCTAAAGCAGGGGTGTCAAACTCAAATACACAGTGGGCCAAAATAAAAAAAATGGGCACTATTCGAGGGCCGGACTGGTTCAATGTTTATTGCAGAACTTATTAGGAAGGACCGCCTCTACTGACCGCCTCTGCCTCTGGCGGTCAGTAGGGACAAAATAGAACTCAGCTTGCTGCTCTGTGATGCTAGTTCAGATACTTGGCATCTCATCTTGGGTGCAAGTTCATCAATGTTTGGGCTCAGGCTCTGAGCTGAGGAGACCCTCAGGATGGAGTGAAGATGTGCGTGCAATAGGGCTGCACGATATCGTGTTGTGACGATAATCGCGTTATTTATTTATTTTTTTGGACGTGCGATATTAAGTAGGCAAATGAGTGAGTGACATGCCAGCTCTGCATGCACAGCAAACCACCAATCACAACCATTCTTGATCAGATCACAGCAGGATAACCGAGCTAGCTCAGGTTGTTGCTCTGATAACTTGATCCAGACGTCCGTGACTAAAATCCTTCATCCGGTTAAATATTGTTAAAAAAATACCAATTGTATAGCATGAAAGTTCAGGAAGGATGGTTTGCGGACAAAAAAAAACTGTCGTTTCTTCAATTCCTGTATTTTTTCATATCGCAATATATATCACAGGGGAACAAAATATCGCAATGTCAGTTTTTTCCAATATCGTGCAGCCCTAGCGTGCAATATACCGGCGGGCCAGATCTAATAGTAATTAGAAATTATCCTGTGGGCCGAAATTAAATCCACCAAGGGCCTGATTTGGCGCCCGGGCCTCGAGTTTGACACATGTGCTCTAAAGGGAGAAGGTAACAACAAAGTCGTAAATCGGTTTGGGGTCAGCAGGTGTCGGGAAGGTGTCGGGACATCTCTGGAAAGTCACATACTTCCTTCGCGCCACTGTTGCTCTTTGCCCCTCGAAGAAGTGAGGAGACAAGAAGTGTCCGCTCATCTGTATCAACCACATGAATTATGCTCTGCCTTCTCCTATCTCAGAAGAGGCAGCTGCCAGGTCACACACAGTGTCAGTGCATTACAACCCATAAGAGGAGACAACTTGTATTTTCTCCAACATTTTGCATATATCTCCCATACTGATGCACAACAGACCATTATATAATCTGGGTGTAAATAATAATCAAACAATCAATCACATTTATTTATAAAGCACATTTAAAAACAACCCACGTTGACCAAAGTGCTGTACAGAACAGAGCAGGTAGCCAACACAACCTTTCATAAGATAAATAAATGAAAGTAAACATTAAGATGTGGTGGAAATCTGTCAATGAAGGGAACAAACAAATGAGACTTGTCTATGTACGTTTATTAGGCTTCTGCGCAGAAGGATCGAACTCAGCAAGCAACAGCAAGTCACTGCCAAAGAAATCGATGCCGAGCACACTTTCATCAGGGTTTGATATGTATTAGTACACATGATCAAGAGTTTCAAA